ATGAAAAAACAGAAAATTTCGTCAATGACAGGGAAAGAGTTCAATTTAATTCATTTGATTCTTAAATGTTTTATTTTAAGTGTGAATCGGCTGTTCACAATAGGAATAGTTACCCTTGGTTCATTCTAAACCTCAGGTAAACGGAATCCATCTTGATTCACGTTGCACACTTCTCACAATTTACCTGGTTTAACAATTAATACTGGGTATTCATATATAAGCTGATGTTTCACATTGTATAGCCTATATTTTTAAACGCTGCGTTAATGTCCTTATTTGCACATTTGCGTTGTCAGTGTCATTGATTGGACACATGCAGCACATGCCTGCTTACGTAAAGGATCTAACTTTGTTTTTCCTTAATTTACTTTTTGGACTATAAAGGTAAGAATGAAATGGTCTTAATTCTAATTACTGTGTTTTCACCTCAAACGCTGAAACTACTGTTTATCCAAAATACGGTGTTTGTGGGAATTTCTGTGTTCAGGCCAGGTTGTAGTTGCAAAATTAATTTGCACTGGTCAGGTGGTGCAACGATCATGTGGTACAAGTCGGAGCTATCAGAAAATTCTGAGTTTACAAGTTGTAATTATGAGTTGTACTAGAATGCGGACACTTTTTGCATCTCATAATTACGGTAATTACAACTTGGAGTAAATGCATATGCACCGTGTCAGAAATCGCATACTGTATACATTTGGTTTAAAACTTACATTGTGACCGATAAAAAAGTACAGTAGTTGCCGAAAGTGACGTCCGGCCTTGGAAAATGTACGTCTTGACTCTTGACCCTTTATTCAAATAAAAAATTTTTAAGCATATTGCATATGTGTATATATATATATATATATATATATATATGTATTAGGGCTGTCAAAATAACGCGTTAATTTCGATTAATTAATCTGAGAAGAAATAAGGCGTTAAAAAAAATAACGCAGATTAATCCATTGATCCGTTTTGACCTTTGGGGAGCCGTTCTAGCCGTAGCCACCATTCGTGTAAAAAGAAGGAGGGAGACAAGAACGCGCTGCTTGGATTATTGTTTGGAACATTTACTTATAACAAACGGAGTTCGTCAACTCTAAAGTACCACATCAATGCAAAGCATCCAGGAGTGTGTGCGGGAGTCGGTGAGTGTGTCTGAGAGAAAGCGCGCTTGTGTGTGTGTGTGTTGTAACTTTTCACGCGCTCTCACGTCACACAACCATTTTCTCACGCACAGAAAAATCGCGCACCAAAGAGAGGACACGGAAACAGACAAGACAGAGCACGTTACTTATGATATTTAAAAAATCTCATTTCTCAGATTCTGTCAATTTTATTACGAAAATCAAACAATAAATACCGTTTTGGCGCTTGTAAATGTGACATGAGTCATGACAGATCCCATAGCGGCACGTGAACCGATCATCTCTAATAGTAAATAAACACGAATGACCAATGTTGAAAGATAAAGTAGGGCAGCCTAAAACTTACCAATATGTATATTCCTCGATCAATCAGTGTTTTTCAACCGCGAAAAGAGGTCAATAAAAAAGCTGGAGAACAATTATGTCACATAACATTTAGCCTAAGTTACCTCAGGAAAGCCATTTCATGACCATATAGCATGTTATAGTTGGCTATAAAAAAAGAGCTATAGAGAGTATTTTTCTAAATTTATTTAGCCTACTACTATATTACATATGTATTATATTTTTACTTATATCAAAGTTGTTATTTGTAATAAACACGCATTATATTTAATTTGAGCTATTTTTAACCTTAAATACTACCAGCTGATATGGCTCCCTGTATTTTTACAGCATTGGGTGAGATTTTTTTTTTCTTGAGAAAAATGAATGCCTATCTTGTGTACCTATCCAAATGAGTCAATATTGCATCAAATCACAAGAATTAAATTATATTGAAATCGTGAAATTTGTGTCAAGCAATAATAATAAAAACGTAGCTTACCAGAAATTGTACCATGTAAACATTGTAAGATTGTGTATGCGATTAATTTAGATTAATTAATTACAGAGTATGTAATTAATTAGATTAAAAATTTTAATCGATTGACAGCCCTAATATGTATATGTGATGATAACGCTACGCAACATGTCAAATTGTGCGGACATGATTTTTGGCCAGGCCGTCATACAAAGAAATGAACACATGCAAAAACAAGAGAGAACCAACTAAATATTAATATCTGATTATGTTGTAGTCAATAAGTTTTTAGTTTTGTTGTTCTATGCATTTTATTTGCATAGTAAAATAAAACCTGCAGCTGTAGTTTTCCTCCTTTTTGGCCACTACTGTATGTTCTACATAGTATGAATCTGTGTAGTATTAATGAAATTCGTACGTACTACATCTGCCATGTTATCACTGTCATGTGACCTATGGCATCAGTTGGATCGCTTTACCTCCATTCACAAATCCTCTCCCGTGACCTCATGGAATAGTAAAGTGCCCGTTGAATGCGCACTTCAGAATCTCTGCGAAAGTAGTAGGTCATTTCTAGTATTTTTCGCGGAGCAGGGTTTCATAACCCCCAGGTTAAAAGCAATCCATTCTGAACCCTACTTCTAAATTGCAAGTGTGAAATGTTCCTTTACCCAGGGTTAAATGTCGATAACTCAGGAATCATTAGGGATTTTCACACTGTGCTTAACCCAGTCATTTTGTTTTAGTTTGGAGCTTTGGCTGGTCAGGTTATGGAGTTGCACTGGATAGTGCTCTGTAGACTTGCCCTGGTCACAAGAAAGCACGAATGTGTTTGTGTGTGCATGTAGACGGATGAGAAATGTGCTCTGGTACGTTTAGTTTCGGGTAATTTCTAGTCCATCTAGTCAAGGCAGCCTACAAAACTCCTTCCCCTCGACCGCAGCCAGATGATCCCTAAAGCATCTTACTCAGACCTCAGTGGAAATAGACTGGCTGTGTGTATTCGAAAAAGCATGAACTCGCCTACAACGGAGCGTATTTGTCCAGTGGAATTTAAATTCTTATTGAGAAACCTCAGGCTGTTGGATTTTAGTTTCATTTTCTATGCCTTTTTGACAAGGCCCTGTAGCAGCTGTCAGTCATTTCCCCTGCTCTAGCGAGTGCCTGCTCTAGTTCACTACCTAAAGCCTCCACGAAGCCAGACCACCAGACTCCAGCACAAAGAGTTACGATAGGGGCCAGGGACTCTGGAGAAGCTGCTATGTTATTTGTGTTGCGTCAGAATATTCTACTTCAAACTTCTTTCTACTTTTTTTTGCCTCCAAGAGACAGTATGTGTATTAATGCACCTCTTCCATGGACGAAGGTGAACTTTCTTTTAGCTTTTGAGACGGGGTCTAGGAACTACATTACAGCGAAGGCATTCATATTGCATAGCAGGAGTGCACAGTGTAACTGCGCCTCTAAGATATGCCCAACCTCTCCGTTTGCTATTTTCCTCACACGACTCTGCGTGCCTGCCGTTTGTTGAACGCTGTTAAATGTTTAATTTCCACCAGATACGGTTGCAGAGAGACACGCTCAAGGACAGGGGTCCAAATACATAAAAAACACAGCCAGCTAAATCTCTACATATTGCCCTTCGTTATCTGCGAGCGAGATTTGCTGTGGTGTGAAATTTAAGGAAATTATTTCACTCTAGTTTGGAGGGTGTTGAGGGACTATTAGGTCATGATGTAATTGCGTGAAATTCATAAAGGTCTGTGTGTCCCACTTACAAATGGATTTATGAACACATGTCTTTGAGTGTAATACTTAATGCTACAGCCCATTCTTTAGATTCATGTTTTTGTTGTTGTTGTTGTTTTTCAGAGATCGATTGCTTTTAAAGTCCACATGAGACACTGTTAGCAAGCCATTTTATTCTTGTAATCCTTATGGGGCTTGATTTTAGCCAATGGGAATTGTTTGGATTGTGAAAAGTGGGTGTTGCATAATACAGTAGTAGGCTATTAAGGTAAAAAGGCAGAGCAAGTTTACATTTTGATTTAAAAATGACAAAGACCTTTTTTTTTTGGTAACACAATGTTCTATTTGATGCATGGTCTTTTTTTCCCTCCAAAGATGTAAATATAACAAATATTATTGGAGTATGTTTTTTCAAGAAAATACTATTTCAGTCTTTCTACTTAAAAACAAACATTTAAATCAGTGTTACTTGCCATTTGTTTTGCGAAATTGCAATTTCTGAGTGAAAGTCGTTTCAAAGTAAATCCTACACCTTTTTTTCAGTGTAGTTGATGTTAATTTCAACATTTACTAATTATTAAAGTAAAAAACAAAAATCTGTTAATATAATTTAATGAACCTGAGCAAACACGAATAAAATGAACATTTTATTTTATTAACAAAGATTAATAAATACTGTAACAAATGTATTGCTCATTGTTAATTACCCTTTTGTAAATTGTTACCCCACTCCTTTTTTTATAAATAATTTACTGATGAATTGTTAACAATAAGACCGGGAATGTGTATTAAGTGAATTCAATTTATTTATTTATTTATTTTTAGTAAGTGTGATATATAAAATGTAACATTTTTCGTTAACACTTTACAATAAGGTTTCATTAGTTAACATTAGTCAACTACATTAGTTAACATCAACTAATAATGAACTGCTCTTCTACAGCATTTATTAATCTTTGTTAATGTTCATTTCAACATTTACTATACCGGTACATTATTAAAATCAAAAGTTGTATTTGTTAACATTAGTTAATGCACTGTGATCTAACATGAACTAACAATGAACAGCTGTATTTGTCTTAGCTAACGTTAACAAAGATTAACAAATACAGTAGGAAATGTATTGCTCATGGTTAGTTCATATCAGTTAATATGTTAACTTATGTTAGCAAATGAAACTTTATTGTTACCCATTTTTCTGTCATTTGGAGCTCATCAGGTGCTTGGTAACACATTGTATGTTGGCAGACTTTTGTGCATATTGATTTACACCGTAGCTGAATGTTCATGAATTATGGGGGATTCGTTTTTCTCAGGAGGACTTGGTGGTGAACCACATGGCTGCCAAAATCATAGAGAATGTGTGCAGCCGAGAGTCTCAATACGCCCAGGGATTCATCACTGCAGAGGTGGGACCTGCACTCTGGTTTCTGTTCACACACTCCACAGTGGATGCACTCAGGGTCAGCGCTATATCTGTGAGTATCATCATTCTCATCACTTTAAAGGAGAACTCCGGCGCAAAATGAACCTTTTGTCTAATTACACATTGTTACCTAGTCAACCGTTATCTGAGATTTGTTTTCATGATTATCGAATGTAAATAGTTTTATCTCTAAAAACAGTTTAGCCTATAACGCTAGTATAACGCTAGTATATTGGGCATAGAGTAATGACAAATAAAAATCGCTTGTTAATACCACTAACAAGGCTCAAAATAGCCCCACACTAACACGGTAGCATAATGAGGGTCCCTACCTTCAAACCGAAGCATTGAGAACTTTGTCAGTGTCCAGACAGTTTAATAAGGAAAATATTTTATACATACAGTCAACTTCGCGTATACAGGCAGAAGCCATCTTTGAAAAACAGTCTCTACTGGCGCTTTTCCATTACCAGTACCAGCTCGACTCGCCTTGGCTCGCCTCGACTCGGCTCGCTTTTCGCTCCGTTTTCCATTGCAGAAAGTACCGCCACAAATAGTACCCGGTCGTCATAGCGATGCCTTTCGTTCCTCGTTGCCCCATCAAGCTCTTGCTGGATCTTCTCTTCGGCAACCAAACAAAGGAATGTCTGCACCTCCTCGTTTGACCACGGCGTATTCTTCCGAGTTGCCATAATAATAGTAGTAAGTTTAGTAACTAACTCTGGCCAAACTATTTAAAAATGGCGGGGTTATTCTGGATACTCCATCTGGCGCGTGCAATGATGACGTGACGATGATAGTGACGATTCTCTCTGACCAATCAGCAGTCGGCATTGTTTTCACGTCACATTTTAGTATCGCCTTAGCTCGCCTCAGCTCGCTTAGAACCTCGCCGGAGGTGGTACGAAAAAAAGTACCCGAAAGCAGGTAGCTACAGGTACAACTTTTACACAGTGGAAAACCAAACAAAGGCGAGTCGAGCCGAGCCGAGGCGAGCTGGTACTGTGTAGTGGAAAAGCGCCATACCAGTCGATCTACGAAGGCCGATCCAAGCCTACTGTTCGCGCTCACCTTATCACAACTTATAGTTCTTTCACATCTCACCAGCGCACTTGGATCGGCATTCGGAGATCAACTGGTAGAGACTGTTTTTCAAAGATGGCTTCTGCCTGTATACGCGAAGTTGACTGTATGTATAAAATATCTTCTTATTAAACTGTCTGGACACTGACAAAAGTTCTCAATGCTTCGGTTTGGAGGTAGGGACCCTCATTATGCTACCGTGTTAGTGTGGGGCTATTTTGAGCCTTGTTAGTGGTATTAACAAGCGATTTTTATTTGTCATTACTCTATGCCCTATATACTAGCGTTATACTAGCGTTATAGGCTAAACTGTTTTTAGAGATAAAACTATTTACATTTGATAATCATGAAAACAAATCTCAGATAACTGTTGACTAGGTAACAATGTGTAATTAGACCAAAGGTTACATTTTTGTGTTACATTACATTTATTTTTGTGTTACATTACATTTTTACATTTACATTACATTTTCCAGGTACAAATTACATTTTGAATTCCAGATTTTAAGTGCTGTTTTAGACTTTGTGTCACCACTGTATAAAACAGTGTATAAACTTTTAATACATTTGTATAAAAAATTGTAACATCAGAGCCACCTTGCATATTGTCATTGATTAGGGGTCCAAGCACAAAAGTTTTTTGATTTTCCTTATCTTCTTTATTTGTACCATTGGGCCAATGCCAAGGCTGTCAACTGTCCTGGGAGTCTTTCATGTTCGATGCTATAATAAGCCCGTTTATGTCTTCATATCTTCACAACCGTATGGTCTAGAATTTAAATGGAATTTCCGCCTATTAAATGTTTCTGCCATTTTTAAATTTTTTAGAAAATTAACTTTTTGAGCTTCTCATAGGTTCTTGGTCTGATTTTCATGAAATTTGGTACGTATTATCTCAAGACCCAATAAAAAATTTATCAAAATAATTTAGTTTCCTCAAAGTGTTGTGAAGATATAAGCCAAGGCAAGTTTGAAGAGGAGGTCTTTCATTTTGATTAATTGCTAAATATCTGCCAAACAAAGATCGAACATAAAGAAACGTGATACCTATAGACAACAGGGCATTCTGAGATGAATTTGTGCAATTCTGCTCATTTAAGGCACTACAACTAAAAACCTGCCATAAGTTATCAAAACAACTTTGAATCTTTGTTTGTTTAGCAGATAGGCCAATATATAGTTGGGTTTGGACCATAGTGACTAATTGACCTATATCTTGTGAGTGTAACAACCCAGTCAACTTGGAATTAGTTTTTCATGATTTATTTATTTTGCAAGGGGGCCTTTGTTCAGAAATATTCAGAATGTTCAGCCACTTATTTGTGACTGTGAATGACAGATGAAAGCTGTAATGAAGCCCATCTTAGGGAAGAATAAGGAGTACTTTTAAGTCTAATGTTTTTGCATCATTGTAAATATATTCCTACAGGTTTACAGTGGCTGCGTAAAACAATGATCAACTTTTAAAGGGGTCATGACATGGATTTTTTTGGATTTTAAAATGTTCCTTGTGTTTCACTTATAATGTTGAAAACATTATCTATATAAAACTATCATTTAGAGACAAAGCATTATGAAATAATTGACTTATGGTTTGTGATGCAGCTGTGTCAGATCCAATACAGTTAGCTGCCTCAACTTTCAACAAAATTTCCTTTTGCGAACTCTGCGTTACACTGTGCCTCGTTTACAAAACAAAATGCGCTGAACAACATATATTCCTATGACGCGATCCGGAACGCCATTAAAATAAACTATCCACATGTTTCTGACACTGGGATCCTTCTGAACTTTCTTCTGTACAGAGACACAAACAAGCTGTTTAAACTGGACATGTCAAAGCAAGCGATCTTTCATTTGTCCTGTTGTTGACAGACTCAAGTGCCTAGAGTATGTCAGAAACTGAATGTGCATGTGTATACTGTATCCAGCTTAGACTGTCAGTACAATGGGTTATATTTGCTTTTGACCTGATGTGACACTCACATCCATTGTAGGCAAATGTCAACCGTTAAAGGGGTCATATAATGGTACATGCACTTTTACAAGTTTATTGTACTGAAATATGTGTTGTCAGTGCCTGTACACAACCATCAAATAATGATAAAAATCCATCCAGTGTTTTTTTTTTAATCTCCTTATATGTTTTCCCTTGTCTCAAATCAAGCCGTTCGACCGTGTGACGTCACACGGTCGGACGCCCCTCCCACGATTGTTGATTGACAGCAGCGTTTCAACACAGACCCGCCCTCGCTCATGAGGGAGCTGTCAATCATAGTCTGCGCGGCGCGGACTGGCGCGGTCATTGTTGATATGCTGGAGCACTGTCTATGAGCAGAATGGCGTCTAAGCGATTGTGGTGTTCTGTTCTTGGGTGCAATAAGGAACACAGCAGTCATTTTAATGTTCCTAAATCCGAACCGCTGAAGACGCAGTGGCTGAGTTTTGTTTTCGAAGGGAATATTCCCCACGAGCAACGTCAATGCTTTCATGTTTCCGCGAATCATTTCACACACCAGACTGCTTTATAAAAGAGGGTCAGTGTAAAGCTGGTTTTGCTGAGAAGCTGCTCCTGAATAAAGGATCGGTACCAACTATTCGTGTTCCTGCTGAACCTCCAGAAGAACTGAAGTGAGTGTAACGTTTTATTAACCTTTATATTAATATTTATATTAATCTTTGCAAATCGCTTGCACGCTTCACGATGAATGCGTCTAAGGTTTACACTCAGGGTACATTACGGCATGTTTTCTATGTATGACGTTCTCAATATAATTCATAATCCCCCTTTTATAATGAACAACGCGTTATGGTTATTGTGTCATTGTATTACAAACAGTGTACGCACAGAACAGAGAGGCGTAACATTGTGCTTTTGTAAAATAAAGAAAACAAACAGGGGGGTGTGCTTTCTGTCGTCTCGGTCTCTGTGTACTTTTTTCTGAAGCGCGTCACAAAAATAAAACAAAACTCAGCGAATTCTTGTCACACAGACATGAGCAATATATCCATTCTACTTTGAAATGATCTAATTCAAAATGAAAACCAATATTCTCTGTTTATCTAATCTGTCTGAAAATGGATACCGTAGATCATTACCCCTCATGTGAGCACGCCTATGGACTCCACGCGCTATGCATATGGTATTGATCTCAGCAAACAACGGCCACATCAACTCGATAAAACACATCAAGTTTCATCTGATTCATTTACTTTACATTATTTTGGTATGCGGTGAGGAATAATCCTGGACGAATTTACCTCAGAAGAAGAGCGCAACTGTGGTTTCAGATTCATTTTAAGGAGCGACTTGATCCAGCTGATCCAGCCTAAAAAAAAACTCAAACCCCAGAGTGTTAAGCTATGAAACTTGCAGAATGTTTTAATGGTTCAAAGACCATCTTTATGCCAAAAGTTCAAGGCAAGTTTGATTTCTCATGTCATGACCCCTTTAAATATATGGTTCATGATGTTATGGTTAGGTTTATATTATTTTTTACTCCAGACCTACATGCAATCAACTGACACATTCTTCTTTTTTCTTTAACTCAACTTGCTGTTATTATACTGTAAGGTTCTTAACCTTTTAATAAGACATTCACATTACATTCCTCCAAATAAATACATAAATAATATTATGTAACGAAAAAGCAGCAGCATTAGAGATACTGTATTCAACCCACCTCCACCCACCTGTCTTCTTACATTTATCTGCCCTTCCAGGCTCTATGTAAAATAACACGCCAATCTGCTGGGGCCTTCCAGAGCGTGATTGACAAGGTGGGATTACCCAGCATCCTCAGCTGCCTGGTGTCAGGCATCAGCCGTGTCCAGCAACACATGCTCACTATGTTCGCTGCCATGTTAGCATCAGGAGCACATTCCCACAGATTGGTACAGGACCGGGTATGTACATACAAGCGCATGCATGCATATTTATTAGGGCTGTCAAAGTTAGAGCAATTACTTTACATTGTCATGGCAAAAGTAATTCAATTACAGAAATTAATTATTTAGTAATGCATTACACCCAACTCTGGTCCAGACCAAACATTCTCCAAACAATCATAGCAGGTTTCTAAAGTAAAAATGTAGACTGTGAGTGTGTACAGTCTTAATAAATAAATATATACTTTATTTGCCTTGGCAATGTTTAGGAAGAGGTTTTGGAATTTGACGTAGCTGCATAATTCATGGTTATCAGAAATATAAAAACATGTTTTTATACATTTTAAATATTAATAAAGTGGTGGTGTGAAAGAAACGTGCACCTTAATGAATGATGTTTTAATTTTCTCTTTTTATTGCAATCAGAAAATATTCACTCTTTCCTCTCACTTTTAATGTCAGCATTAAAAATAGTTTCAGTAGGGAAAAAGAAAAGGACAAGCATGTTGTGTTGTCCACAATTTAGTTGCACACAGCAATTCTAGCATATGAAGTCCTGTGTGAGATTTCTTTGAGTTAAGTTTGGAGCAGGGGAGAATCCGTGCAATTGTCCTGAGAACATGGTGTTTTTTACTTCCTGTACAAACAAACCCAAAGGACACCGCTCAGATTTTACACACCTTGTTGCATTCCGAGTGCATTTATGCAAACACTTAAACTTGCACTGCTCTCTGCCTCTCTCTTTCTTTCTACTGCTGACTATTAGTCCTCCACACTCTTTTCATTGCCCCTTTTTTCTTTTCACTCTTGCCATCATTCTCTCCCTCATCCTGATTTTATAGTTCTCACTCTTTTTAATTCTTTTGATTAGGGAAAAAAAAACTGGACTATTAATAGACATACAGTTCTGTACCATGATAGAGAAAAAGTCATATCACATTTAGTACAAAAAGTCTTACATTTTACCCCGTAATGGTTGGTTAAGGCAATTGTAACACTAAAAACGTCTCTCAAATGCGAGTCCACTTCAAAGTAATACTGTCACTTTACATATGATACACATTATTTTAGCTTTCAGGAATAATGGGCATTTAAAGCAAAAGTCTTCGTGAGATCAACATTAAAATGGTTGGAAAATACTTTTTACAAAAATATCGGCTTATTGATGTGTTCAATAAGATACTTTAATGAAATAATGATTTATTAATGTTGCAATCATAATATTTTAAAGCAGTAGTTCACCCAAAATAAATATTTTGTCATTAACTCACCCTTACAGTATATCGTCCACACCTATTGGTGTGGTACCACACTGTATTACCGGTACTTGCTTCCTTATGTGGACCTCAAAAATATAAATCTATTAATGTATTAATGTTTCACTCATTTCAATATAACAAATGTAAACAGGGACTAGGGCTTTCAAGATTCAAAATGACTCAATATAAAGCAATGGTTCCCAAACCTGTACCTGGTTTGTACATTTATAAGTCTTATAAAGCTTTTATGTGATATCTTTGTGTGATGAACAGACTGTCATTATTCATTGAAATTCTTGGCATCTTCATACGTTCATAAGACAAGTAGTAATGTCTGATTTGTGAATGAATTTTGAGTCAGATCTTTTTCAGTGAAATGGTTGATCCAGTTCACTCAATTTTGGTCATTAAACAAAGCTACAGCACTCTTTATTAGTCTTCCGAAGACATAGTGCAAGAGTTTTTTTTAAAAAAGCCCTCTCATTCACTTCCATAATATTGAATAGGCCAGGCAATTCTTTAAAAGTGTGTTTGTGTGTGGTTCAGGTATACCCTACATAATAGAGACAAAATGTGATTATAATATCTGAAATCCTTGTCCTTGTGGGAATTTATTTTTTATATTTTGGTCATCATGAGGAACCAATATATAAATCATACTAACTCCGTGTTTGCACCGGACGCCGGCGGTGCGATGCAACAAAATACAATAGAAGTCATTATAATGAGTGATTTTGTCTACACTGGATGCTGCACGACACGACAAATTCCTGACGGTAAACTGATGACTCGTTCTATTTATGACGTACTCCAAGCACTCGTGATACTTCTCATAGGAAGGACAAATGGATTTGCAAAGGTTGCTTTGCAGAGCTGTCCAATGTAGACAGCTTCTAGCTGTTGCGGCGCTGCGCCATGCAACACGTCAACTGTTGTGTCCGGTGTAGACACGGTGTAAGGGATGCATAACGGTCTAAAAATGCATAACATTTTCTGTGATTGGTAGGTTTAGGGGCAGGGTTTGGGGATAGAATATGCATTTTGCACAGTATAAAAATCATTCGGTCTATGGAAAGTCCCTGTAAAATGTGGGAACCCAATGTGTGTGTGTGTGGGTGTTGATTTGTTAAAATCATTGTGAGGTCAGTGCATTTTTAAAGAATTCCCTGGCCTATTCAGTATAATGGAAATGAATGTGTAATCAATGTAGTGTTTACCTACAATGTAGTCGTCTACTCTTCAGCACAATGGTAAGCACAAAAACTTCAAGGTAACAAACTCTTTCAAATGTCTTTCCTTTCACTAAAAGAGAAATAAAATAACACCTAATTTGAACGTTTATTTTCTTTATCAGTCCTGTGTAAAGCATTTTGGAAACTAGAAAACCATTTCCCAATTTTAATAAAGTTATCAAGACTATTTCATTAAGGTTTGTTTTTCTTTTAACTAGAATTAATGCAGATATTTGAGTTTGTTACACACAATATTAAGTTAATTTAATGATCAAAATTATTATGTCAATAGAACTCAAAATAATGTTTGCAACCTAAAATGTTTAAAGGGGTGGTTGATTTATGATTTCACTTTTCTAACTTTAGTTAGTGTGTATTGTTGCTGTTTGAGCATAAACAACATCTGCAAAGTTACAATGCTCAAAGCAAAGGAAGATATTTGCTTTTAAAGAAATCGGTTTTAAGGACTATACAACCGGCTGGTAGGGACATTCCTCCCGGGTAAGTGACATCACTAACCCTAAAATTGACATAAACCGGGAACACGCAGTCCATGCTGAGAAGAGGAAGAGTTGTTGTAGTACAGCACATTTGTGAGTCTGCTCAAGCTGTCGCATCCGTCTTTTCACATGCAATACCGTACGTAACACAAATGCAATAGCATGTCACTCTGTAGGCATCTTACAACAGTTCCCATGCACGAGCGAACACACGATTTATAGATTATCATGACAGAATATGCTAATCAATGACTTGAAGATAGTTAACTCCAAATCAGCAACATAAATTCATCAACTAACCATTCAGAAACGTGTTGTTGCATTCTACATGTTGTCAGTCTCTCCATCATTGTCCGACTTCGGTTTAAACATAAAAGGCAGAACGCGTTTTTACTGACCGTCAAAAAGGGACAACTTTAACATGTCGTACAAAATTATCTGTTGGGTATTTTGAGCTAAAACTTCACATACACACTCTGGGGACAACAGAGACTTATTTTACAAATTGTAAAAAGGGGCATTATACCACCCCTTTAAATTAAATCAATAAATTTGAATTGTTAACTTGCAACCATTATTATTATTATTATTATTATTATTATTATCTGACCTGTTGTGACAGACCTGTGGTATTAGGTCTCCTGTTAAAATCCCCTGCTTATGTTTTTATCATGCTGAGAAACTACAGTATTTTAATAAAAAAGTGTCACTGAGTGTGGAGTGTGACTGAAGAAATTTAGAGCGTTACAATTGCCCCCATTCTCCCCTACTGCACGTGACTTGTGATAAAATGGGCCAGTATGTATAAAGCTTAATGGCAGAGTTTGAACTCCTTATGCATAACGGTTTAGTTCAGTACATACTGACCCCAATTCTGATCATTTTCTTTCTTACGTTTGACCATAACCCTCCGAACCGTGCAGCAGTAGTTTAGCATGTCCAATTTGAAGAAAATGCTGCATATAGTGCAGATTTTTTTTTTTTTTTTTTTTTTAAACAAGTTCTGCCAATAAGTTTTTGATTTCTTTCAGTTTGGCAAACACACACTTTGTACATCCTGTGCCATCTCTCTCTCTGCTTTTTGTTATTGACAGCCTGTATCGCTCTTAGTACTGGCAGCACTTCATCGGTCAACAACTTTAAGATCGGACCATTTTTGTTAGTCTCAGCAACTATACAGTGTTCTGAAGCAGCTGCGTTGACAGGCACTGTGCCTCACTGCCACTCAGCATTCTTTCTTTTGTTAGTAACACCTGCAGAAAGACTGGCAGAAGAGGGGGGTTTTTTTCACTCGAGTCTTGACTTCTGGAGGTAGAAGTACTCTGGTCTGTGATTTTCCAATTGTTTCAAATTAAATGAGAATTATAGATTTTTTTTCATTACATACTGTTTACTCATTACTATAGTGATATCATTTATGTTTTATAATGAAACACATTTCAAGCTAAAGTATGTAATTTCTGTGCCACTGTTGTTCCCTAAATATTAGAAAAATTCCTTTCTACAAAAAAAAAACGTTCTCTTATAATAACATTCTGTAGTATATACACTATCATTCAAAAGTTTGGGCCTGGTAAGATTTTTTTTTATTGTTTTCTATTTTTAAATATATTTATTTATTTTATTTTTCAGGGTCACATGATCCTCTATAAATCATTATTTGTGTCATACCTCAGTAATATGCTGACTTGTTGCATATTTCTTATTATTTAAATATTGGAAACAGTTGTGTTACTCAACATTTTTGTGGATACCATGATAAATATTTTTAAATATATATTTACATACATATTTCCAGTATTTTTTTTATTAATATTTCAAAAGAACCACATTTACTGTATTTGTAATAGTAAGGATATTTGTCATGTTACAAAAGATTTGTCACTTTTGATCAATTTAATACATCTTTGCTGAATAAAATGATTAATTTCTTTTTTTTAAAGACAGCCTTTCTAACCCCAAACTTTTAAATGGTAGTGTAGTTTTAGTTAATCATAATCATTATTTCTGTACATTTATCGCAATGAAACCTTAACAGTTATGTCCAGTTTTCATCAGGAATTATTTACAGATATACCAGTTCTTTCCCCACACAATTCTTATACAGTATATTATTATACATTTCTTAATCCCCTATTCAGAAACTGGCTGCAACTTATCAGTTTGTCTTAGATTTACCCAGCATGCTACGTGGCGTGTCAGGAGCGAGCAAAACATTGTACGTCTCTGTTTTGCTCTTTATCTGAGGCAGTAATCAATTGGAAAATGGGCTGTAGAAATTGATTTAAATGCCACTGTATACTGCCTTCAAGGCCCTCTCAGATTAACAATGCTAATTTTCTTTGACCTGTATTCATTTGCATGTCAATTTCCAATTTGACTCTACATATTAGAAAAAAAGAAAGAAAAAAAATATTTTGAGTGCCTAAAACCTAGTGGATCACCTCCGGACCAATTATAAACTGCTGTGGATTTCACTGCTTAATTCCCCTGACGAATAGAAGTCCAGAACGTGGCGTGTTTATTCATACATTGACTAGCATAGAATTTAAATTTCAATGAAGCACCGAGCGACTAGGCTAATTGGGTAAGGAAGTGCTGCAATCTCAGAGTGCAGCTTGGAATACTGTTGATGTAATTACGATCCATGCCGAGAGTACAGTAGGTGCGTTTGAAATTAATTAACTCCCCTTCTCGTGCTGTAGTTAATCCTAATGTTTCGGATTGTTTTGCTTTTGACAGCCCCCCCCCCCCCCCCAATTATGCTGATAGTGAAATTTAATCAATTCCTCCTGATTTGCTGCCCACTAAATGTTGTGGAACTCATTAGCTTATTAACCTCTGTTTTATATCAAGTGCATTTCGGGGTGCTTTTCCATCCCCTCCAGCACCTCGCTGTGTAAGTGATAGCACCTGTCAAATTACTGTCAGACAATTGGGGCTTATGCCACACTAAATGTCCAGAGACCTCCCGGTCTATTTAAATGACGCGTGTGCGCTAACAAGACTGTGCTAACGGCTTGAACGCCTCTTTGCAGGACTTTGTTATGAAGATAATCCGCTCTCTGGAGAGTCCGTCTTCTGTCATCCGTGCCAAGGCCTTTCTCGTTCTTCTGCAGGTCCTTATGCACAACAGAGAGATGCTTCTGCTCTGCTGTAACTCCAGGTAAACACTCTACACCAGGGGTGCCCAATCCTGCTCCTGCCAATCGACTGTCCCGCACAGTTCATCTCCAACCCTAATCAAACACACCTGCCTTTAATTTTCAAGTGATCCTGAAGACTTTAATTGGTTGCTTCAGGTGTGTTTGATTAGGGTTGGAGATGAACTGTGCAGGACAGTCGACAGGCAGGAGCAGGATTGGGCACCCCTGCTCTACACAATGAAATCCCATAAACCAACTGTGCAGAATACATTGACAGAGCACACACGTTATAGATCCGGTGAAATGCTTCTGTTCCTCAATAGCGCGCTGAGAGCAAAATATACACGGAACGGTAAACAAAGACACAAGCACAAAGGAAAAAGCAGGAGAGATGTTCCTCTTGTGCCCCATATCCAAGTACAAACACACTACAAATAATTCCACATATGAATCACAAAGAGAGAAAGAGACCATCATGGAGATGGAGATAGCGAAACACATAGACTAAATCAATATCATATATGTTTCATAAATGGTTGGTGGAGACTGAGATGCATGAGAGGATGGAAACTCTAGTGAGTCTGTTGCTCCACTGAACAGTAACTGTTTTAGTTGAAGGTTTTTTAAGAGTTTCTGTGTCTTTCCTCTGTTACGACTGGAAAAGTTCCTCAATTTCTTCCCAACATTCATAATGTTTTAAACATCTCTAAATATCCTTGCATGCATGATTATTACACATTTTGACAAATGTAATTAATGCTTGTTCATACCAATTAAGAAGTGTTTATTTAAGGGTTTAAGTATGTATGATGTTGTATGTTTAAATACATTCTCTTGACCCAGTTTATTGTTCATTGACTACAAATGCCATTTGTTGTCCCAAAAAAAAAAGTGTAAAGATTGAGCCTCCCAGGCACCATTTAAACATTGAGAGCAGTACCAATAACTGTAGCAGGCTGAACCAAAGGGTTTTTAGCCACTGTGGGACCATGGTTGATGCGTTACATGGGAAAAGAAATTCAGCTTTGGTTACAGAAGTGCAAGCCAAAATTCACTGCATTTTAGACCTTTAAATATTAAACCGGTCATTAAAGGTGCCCTAGAATGGGGTTATTTTATTATTTTATAATGTTTCCTGGGTTGCCCTTATGTTAGTATTTTTTTTCTGTATATAATTTATTCACAATTTAAATAAGGTTTTTTTCATCCTACTAAAAGAAACGATGTGAAGTTGATTTCAGTCACTGGCTTGACTTGATGCATAAACAGTATTGAACAATTTTGAGAGAAAGATTACCTGTCTGAACATGAACAATTAGGCTACACATCAGAAATTGTTGCTTGGTAGCTCGATCGATATATTTTCAGACGTTCATCGAGTTGAGGAAACAGTCGTCGGTGAAATGTTTGGACCATACACAACTTTGGGAAGTTGTGTCGGCGCATTTCCAGAGAAAATAAAATTAAGCCATTGTTTCTTCAGAGGCTCGGATGAAGGAACTAAAGAATACTTTTGTGTTCATGTGTACATCCAAACACTGAGCAACTGCTATGCTTCGGCTGCGCAGTTCCGCCTGTCATTGAACATGGGCTGGCAAAAGTGGTCACTGAGACGGTTCCCTTTAAAAAGGTTCTAACTCTTTGGTTCCAATATGTAGCTTTGAGGTACTAATATGCACTTTTTAGGTACAATGGTAATTTGGTAATTTTGAAAGTGTACCGGCCCAGTGACCGCTTTTGTACCTTTCTTTTAGAGTGTAGTGTCACAGAATCTGCATTTTGCCAAATTCTGAAGATTTTCATAAAAAGAAAAAAAGTTTATAAAAAAAAAAAAAAGTGCTCTGATTCCATCTGGACCTAATTATTGCATTGACCAACAGAAAAATGCTTGGTTTGAAGGTGCGCGAGTGGAAACTTCTGTGGTGCTTGATACATCTCTACACTATTGACAATGGAGAATATACTTTTTTTTTTTTTTTTTTTTTTTTGCAAGATTGCCTGCAAGAATCACTTCTCTGAAATAACAGGATTTAAAATATCACAGACTTTAAGCTATAAGTTTTTGGTTGGTAGAAAGTTAATAATGAAAATATCTCCTTAAAGGATTAGTTCACCTCAAAATGAAAATTTCCTGATAATTTACTCTCCCCTATGCCATCCAAGATGTTCATGTCTTTCTTTCTTCAGTGGAAAAGAAATTAAGTTTTTTGAGGAAAACATTTCAGGATTTTTCTCCACACAATGGACTTCAATTGCAACCAACGTTTTGAAGTCCAAATCAATGCAGTTTCAAACGGCTCTGCACGTTCCCAGCTGAGGAATAGGGTCTTATCTAGCGAAACGATCGGTCATTTTCTAAAAAACAAACAAACATTTATGTACCTTTTAACCACAATTGTTCGTCTTGTGCTGGTCTGCAACGCGCCAGGGATTACGTCATCACGTTGGAAACGTCACGTTTTTTGTTTTTTTTTAATAATAAATTAAAACAAAGCTGTCAGACGATTTTGAAGTTGGATGAGAAAACTGAAGAAAATGAGATGGAATTTTTCGCCCTTCCCTGCCTTTTTTAACCGGAGTACACAAACAAATAACTTAGATAGATGACGTGACGCATGACGTTTCCAACATGATGACGTAATCCCTGGCGCGTCGCAGACCAGCACAAGACGAACAATTGTGGTTAAAAAGTATATAAATGTTTTGTTTTTTTTAGAAAATGACCGATCGTTTTGCTAGATAAGACCCTATTCCTCCGTGCAGAGCCGTTTGAAACTGCATTGATTTGGACTTCAAAACGTTGGTTGCAATTGAAGTCCATTGTGTGGAGAAAAATCCTGAAATGTTTTCCTCAAAAACTTAATTTCTTTTCCACTGAAAAAAGAAAGACATGAACATCTTGGATGGCATAGGGGAGAGTAAATTATCAGAAAATTTTCATTTTGAGGTGAACTAATCCTTTAAGAAATTGGAGTGTATACATGAATTTCAGAGATGATAGATTATAGATGAGAATGTATGATGGTCACCTTCATCTGGATGATGATTGCAGGGGAGAGCTGCCTCAGACATGGTATGGAAACTTAAATAGATGAGTTTCATTCTCTCATCCTTCAAATGTCTCTCTGCTCCCAGCGTCATTTCCTCAAATAGGATTAGTCAAAAAGAGATTATGGTTGAAGATAGTTTGATATAAAAAATAAATAAATTAAAACAATGGTAACGCTTTATTTAAAGGTGACATAGTTACACATTACTTCATGTACTTACTATAGTAATAACAGTAAATTATGCATAATTACAAGTAACTAAGCCTAACCGTAACTCTATAGTAAGTACATTTTGTTAATTAATATTCCTCAGTACTTATTTGTGTAAGTACAATGTAACTGTCACCTTTGATAAATGGGCTCTATCATACACCTGGCACAGTGCTGCGTTCAGGCGCCTTAATATTTTGAGGCAACTGAAATAGACTGCGCTATTGACCAACAAAAACCTGGTCTAAAGTCAATGGCGCAGTATTTTTTTGTTATTTAAAGGGCACATTAGTAGTACACTCTGCTTATTACACACACACACACATCAGCACACAAACATGCCAAATATTACAATTAAAAGGATTACGATGAAAAAGATTATTATTGTATAAAGATATAGTGGAATCCGGCTTGTCTCGTAGATGGTCTGCTTGTGCACTTTAACCCCGCGTACGAGCAGATCCGTTTCCTCGCTAGGGAAGCGTTCAGTTTTTCCCCTTGCAAATTCCGCCATGTAAATAGCAAATCCGTCATGGCGCGAGCGCAACTAGCTTTTAAAGGGAATGGGAGATGAGACTCTGATTGGTTTATTTCACGTTACTCCCAAAACAAACCCATTACTCATTAAGAGAATAGGCACAACCCTTTTAGACCATGCGTCGAGCACAACGACCATTTTTCCTGTTGTTAAACTAGCAAAAGTGGATTCGGACACGACCCTGAGTGCGCTTCAGACCATGCGCTTAGATCGTTAAAATAGAGCCCATAGTGTAACCAAAAATGTTGCCATTGGAGAGTTATTTTTCAAACTCGTTTAGGGCTGTTAATGAATAATTGATCATTATAATAGTTTATTTGATTAATGATTAATCAATTTCAATAGCTATGTGTTAAGTATTTTTAAATACTGCATACAAGCTCAACAAAATCGATTGCAGGAGAATGTTTCTGTTCACTGCAGACACTTTGATAGTGTGTTAAACGTGATGACAAGCATTATGAGCGTTCTTCACCATCCGCCGATCTCCCTGACAGTGTCTGATGTATCATGTCAGTGTTAGCCGGTAGAGCATGCACTGTAAATCTTGCTGCGACTGACCAGTGAAGTTATATTTTGCAAACCACACTCACTGGTAGCAGGCATTTTTTGTGGGACCATTTGGGATGGCAAGGGATAAGGGCGTTGTTCTGGATATTTTTATAATTCTTCTTCAATTATTTCTAAGGGGGTATAAAAAAAACAGCACGTTTTGTGATGTTTTCTATATATGTCATGCACATATTGTCACTTAACAATCTGCTCATTAAACACATAGATAAAACAAAAATACAGTGGACTGAAAAATGTATTTATAGAGTAACATAATACTCTAACAGTATTTTACATACTATCATACTATTTAGAGACAACTGTGAGTGATACAAATTTAAACTGAGACTGTTTTACTTTCAAAACATGGCATTCAATCAAAAATACAATCAACAGTACAAATTCTTTTCCTAACCAAGCTCTTTTTGGCTTGGCAACAGATTGGTTTGACCTCGAACTGTGAAACCAATGACAGAAACAGGCCGATCATTTAAAACGTACATTTTCCATAATTGAGTCTCTTTCCTTCAATCTTACATAAGAAGAATGAATCTTGAAACTGATCTCATTATTCCTTTTGTATGTACATCTTCAGAATATAACCGGTCATTTTCTTTAATCATGTTCTCCTAATTCATCTATATTTAATTTGAAGCCAGTCTTGAACAGCTGAA